ATCTAAGCTCAGAGACACAAACAGCACATATTTTCTCTCATATGTAGAAGCTAGATCTAAAATACACTGATATGATAAATTATACAAGCCTCTAGGCATTCACAAACAGTGAGACCAAAGGAGAATACTCATAGGAGAGGAACACAAAGGCATAATGTCTATATATATATATATATATATATATATATATATATATATATCTGATTATATATAATTATATTTATTGAAATGAACTCCAGAAAATGGAAGTAAGTTTTTTCTTTTCATCTTGTTTTTTTTTTTTCCAGGTAAGGGGTAGGTTTATTCAGTAGACCTGCTAGGACCAGGCAAGGTTGGCACTCCACGTGGCTGGGAAAGGCCTAGGAAAGAGAGAGAGCTGGGAAAGAGAGAGAGGAAAGAAAGAAAAAAGAGCTTGAGAAGAGCTAGACAAGAGCAGAGAGAGCTAGAAAAGAGCAGCGAGAGAGCAGAGAGAGAGCCTAGAGCAGGGAGAGCTAGAAAAGAACAGAGAGAGAGAACTGGGCCTGGGCTAGGCCGTATCTAGGGTATGGGCGGAGAAAGGTGTGGCCACATCAAATGCAGATGTGACCTCTTCCACGTGTCCCAGTTGCCTAGGTAACGCAGGTACTGGGTGGAGACTTTGCTTGTTTGTTTGATTATCTGTTTGGGGAATGGTAAGGACAGCGGGGATGGAGGGACAAAAGGTGAACAAATGCAGCAGTGGGACTCATTAGACTATGTTGAAAATGAACTATACAACTTGTGGGTGGGAACAGGAGGGAAAAACTGAGAGTGAGGGAAGGGGTGACTTTGTCCAGAAAGAATGTAATGTTTACCTGACTTATGTAACTGTAACCCCTCTATATATCAACTTTATTGTAATAAAAAAATTAAGAGAAATTGCATTAAACACAAATCTTCACAAAAGGAATGGTTTAAGGGCATCAGTAAATATAGTAGGGAGAGGATTTCCAGATGTCTCTTCTCTAATATGACACCAAAAAAAGGCAAAAATGGTCAGAATCACCTTTGTTAGAATCTTGGAAATTAACCAGAGGCTTGTAGCCATCTGAGGAACAGTTAATTCAAGAGAGCCAACTGAATCTGTATAAGAACAGGGAGCTTTGTGGCAGTTAACTTGTTCTATTCCACCCATCTCCTTACCCTTCCCCCCAACCAACATCAACAACATGCCTTCTCAGTGAAGGCAGCAGCTGGTAGCCAAAGTCTGTATAAAAGTCTCACAACCTACATCCCATTCCTGGAAATACCTGCCAAAACCAATTAGAAGTCATGGATGAAATGTAAGGACTGCCCCAGGCAGGACACAGCTAGGGCAGATCTTAAAGCTAACCAAAGAGCTTAATAGAGAAAAAACAGAGTCTGAGATGGTCATAGGGGATATGAAAAGCTCAGTGAAATCCTGGGACTCTAGAAGCCCATACTCATATCCTACGCTAGCTAAAGCTCAAGAAAAACCTGAGAAAGCCCAAGCTCTCCATCCTAACTGACCTTGAGGCTATGTACCCAGCAGAGCAACAAATCAGGGACCCCTGACTACTTCACCCCTTTAGAGCAGGAAGTAGCTCCAAAAGAAAAGACCTCTGCCCATCTCCCGGCCTGGTATCCTTAGTTATTATTATTAAACAACAAAGTGGGGAATGCTCGCATATTCCCCACCTCAGCTTCACCCAGACCTGAGCTCCTCCCTCCCTCGAGTTCCAGCCAGATAGCTGGCCACCCAGACCTATCTGCACACAGACCTAGCCACTAGCCCCAGAGCTACCCACCTGGATAAGGGCAGACACCATATTGGTCCCTCTCAAGGAGATACGGCCTAATAAATCTTACAATAATCGTTAAAAAAAAAAAGGAAAATAGATCAAATCTTTGAGACTTTCAAGTATATAATGGTTTCATAGCTGAGATATTGAAAGCACAAGTAATAAAAAGTAATTTAAAAAAGTAGTAATAATAAAAAAAGAGTAGCCAAGCTCTGGTGGCTCATGCCTATAATCTTAGCTACTCAGGAGGATGAGATCTGAGGATCGTGGTTCAAAGTCCATGAGACTCTTATCTTCAATTAACCACCAGAAAACTGGAAGTGGCACTGTGACTCAAGCAGTAGAGCGCTCACCTTGAGCTGAAGAGCTCAGGGACAGCACCCAGCTCCAGAGTTCAAGCTCCACAACTGACAAATATACATAAATAAATAAATAAATAACAGAATAACTAGAATTTTTCAAAATTAAATTTTTGTGCTTCAAAGGATACTATGAAGAAAATGAAAAGAACCCACCAAATGGAACAACATATTTATAAATCAGATTTTATTAGAGACTAGTATTCACAGTGTATATATATATATATATATATATATATATATAAAACATGCCGTAAAGAAAATCCATATACCTCAACAACAGAAAAACAGCCCATATAACTGTGCAAAACATCTTATTTGAGAGATCCTCAAAGATATATAAATGGCCAATCAGCAATGGAAGAGATGCTCAATGTCATCAGTCAAGAGAAAGAAATGCAAATGAAAACCACAATAAGACATCACCCTCAAAAATGGGTTTAATCAAAAACAGACAGCAAAAAATGCTGACAAGGATGTGGGAAAAACTGAAACTTTGCTATACTGCTGATAGGAATGTGAAGGGCCATAGTCACTTCGGAAAATAGGTTGAAAATTCCTCAAAAAAGCATACAGCTATCCATAATTCAACTCATATATTGCCTCCTAGATAAATACCTAAGAAGACTGAAATATATGATTACACTATAACTTACACATGAATGTTCATAGAGTATTATTCATGACTCAAAAAAATGGTAACAGCTGGGCGCCAGTGTCACATGCCTGTAATCCTAGCGACTCAGAACACTGAGATCTGAGGATGGAGGTTCAAAGGCAGCCAGGAGACGAAAGTCCATGAGACTCTTATCTCCAATTAACTACCAGAAAACCAGAAGTAGGGCTGTGGCTCAAGTGGTAGAGCACTACTAACCTTGAGCTGAAGAACTCAGGGACAGTGCTCAGGCCTAGAGTTCAAGCCCCATGACTGACAAAAAAAAAAGTTAACAAAGCAAATACCTGTCAAATGATGGATAATGAAAATGTGATATACATCTAATGGAATACTATTCAGATATACAAAGGAATGAACTACTAATACATACTGTAACATTATTCTTTGTAAAAGAAACCAGGTACAAAAGACCATATACTACATTTCTATGAAATGTCTAGAAAAGGGCTATCCACAGAGAGAAAATAGATCAGTGCTTGTCAAGGACTGGCAAAAGATAGAAATGGAGAGAGGTAGAGAGGTACTGAGACCTCCTTTGGGAGTGATGAAAATAGTAGATGGTAGCATGATCTTGTGAGTATATTAAAAACCAGTTGTAACGGATAAAGGAATAGGTGACTTCAAAATTCTGCAAGATGACTATTTCCAACTCAATTCCCTACAGTAAATCAAATACTGAAACAGTCCAAAAGAGTGGTCCTCAGGACTGCGTGCAAGTGCATCAGAGGGGAAAAAGGACTCTGTTTGAAAGAACCAGTTCCTCAATTACCATCTTAGAAAGCTAGCACTAGCTATTTAAAAATGCAAAAATTTCAAAAACAGCAACATCAGAATACTCTTTCAAAATACAAGAGTAACAACCAGAAGAAATAAGTAAAAGATTCTCAGTAATGAGGCCCATTCTATTTTATCTAATTATTATTATTTTTTTTGTCGGTCGTAAGGCTTGAACTCTGGCCTAGGCACTGTCCCTGAGCTCTTCAGCTCAAAGCCAGCACTCTACCACTTGAGCTACAATGCCACTTCCGGTTTTCTAGTGGTTTATTGGAGATAAGAGTCTCACAGATTTTCCTGCCCAGGATGGCTTTGAACCGTGATCCTCAGATCTCAGCCTCCTAAGTAGCTAGGATTACAGGCGTGAGCCACCAGCACCCAGCTTTATCTAATTATTTTTTTAAAAAGAAATATCACACACTCAACTAGGTTAGCTGAACAATGTAGTGAAAAGTCAACTACTGGAGTCAGCAGAGTGGATTTTACATCTCATGATCTCATTATTATTCCCCGTAGGTTCCTGAGCTAATCTCTCTTGATTTCCTCATCTGTGAAATAGGGTAAAATTATCTGTGTTCCTGAGAAGTAGTATTTGATTTACTATAGGGAATTGTGAGGATCAAATAAAACAAAGAAGACTGAAAAGTTTACTTTGGTTTGGATTTTTTTTTTTTCTTTTTTGTGGTCCTGGGGTTGAACTCAGGAGCTGGGTGCTGTCCCTTAGATATTTTGCTCAAGGTTAGTGTTCTACCAGATAAGCCACAAAAAAAGCCATTTTTGACTTTTTGGTGATTAATTGGAGATATGATTCTCACAGACTTTTCCTACCCAAGCTGCCTTTAAACTACGATCCTCAGATCTCAGCTTCCTGAGTAGCTAGGATTACAGGCATGAGTCACCAGTGCCTGGTTTTGAAAGGTATTTTTAATTTTTTAATTGTTATTATAAAGGTGATATATAGAAGGGTTACAGTTACGTAAGTCAGGTAAAGAGTACATTTCTTTTTGGATAATGTCACCCCTTCCCTTGCTCTCTCCCAGTTTTTCTCTCCTAAAAAGTATTCTTTAAAAATAAAAAACTATGTACTTTCTCCATTACAATGCAAAAGCCCATATTTCAGGTTTATTTTTATGTTAAAATTTAAGTCTATTTTAGGCTGACTAAAGTAGATATTAATGATAATGGCTAAACTGTCTGTCTTCATGTTTACTTTAATCACCTAGATTAGAAGCCAGAATAGACACAGACTCTAGATAATTCCATAATCTTCCAGATAAATGAAGCAATGTAGTTATTATCTGTAGGCTAGATTTCTTTCTCCTGGGAATAAATTACATCTTCCACAAAGTATGTGTACAGCTATCTTTGCATGCCTGTCCAGTAATTTAGAAAAAAAAACAAACAACTTACCTTCACAGTCAAATCCTCATTACCCAGTGTGACATGAACTTGAATAGGAGGATAAACACCTTTGTCAGCATGGTGTTCCATAGTTGCTCTCATTGCATTCTGAAATATATTAGGGTTACATTAAAAATACACCTTTTGAAGAAAAGATGCTAATTATAATTTTTAAAAGCATATGTACTATATAAACTTTAAAAAATTAATCACAATAGAAATATGCCAAAGAACAGTAATTTTATGGATATAGTTACTTTATTAAATGTTGAGTCAATTTTAGGAGACTTGCAGGATATTTTGATTTAAAGACTCCAATCAAGATTCACTTATTTTCCAAAACTAGTCTTCTAAACACTTAACTAATTTACATTAGAGCAAGAAATTCTGCCCATTTTTATAATTATTAGATAATGGACATAATTTATCTTTTAAGAACCACTGGCCAAAATCCCTCCCTTCCCCCATTCCTTCCTTTGTTCTTTTTCTGGTGGTATTGGAATCTGAATTTAGACTTGTGCTTATTAGACGAGTGCTCTACCATATGAGCCATGTCCCCAGACCTTTTCTGCATTAATGTTTCAGATAGGGCTTCATGCTTGCATTTTCCACAGAGATGTAACATCACAATTTCTTTATGAGAAAATTATGCTTTTCATACAGTAGAAATGGTCTTCCAATGATTATTTGAAACGAAGGATATTTATATTGTAAAATTGTTTTTGATCAATTTCAACATATCAAAAACATTAACACTATCCATCTGACAAACAGCACTGGAGAAGAAGCTACTTAAAACTAAGCAAAATTAACCTGATTAAAAATAAGTAAAACATGCAAACATCTGGGCTGAATTTGGAAATAAAAGCAAACATCTCAGAAAAGACGGCATCCACTCTATCAAAGGCAGTTTAATATTAGGTTCTAGATGAAAGCCATTACTGGCTTTTGTTGTTATGGGGGCAGACATTTCTAGGGAAAAATAGCTTTAATATTTTAAGTGCCAAGTACTATTTATTCTACCACTGAAGATTTTTGTAAAATATTAGATATATTCTTATTGTCTTAGAATTGTTGAACCCTTGCTTTCTGACAGTTTTCTGTGTTTTAGTACACTTTTCTTTTTTATCATCAGAGAGAAAGCCTGCAAGTGTCTGATTTAGGACAGGCCTATTCAGCTACAAAGATGAGTGCTATTCATCACCCACCATTTTGTCAGACAGCAAGTTTCACTGGGGAGCAAAAGGTCCTCTCAACTTTACCAGCATAATTTTATTTCGTTCTCAAAAATATATATTTTTTTGCTGGTCCTGGGGCTTGAACTCAGGGCTTGGGCACTATCCCTGAGCTTCTTTTGTTCAAGGCTAGTGCTCTACCACTTCAGCCACAGCTCCACTTCCAGCTTCTTCTGTGATTAATTAGAGATAAGAGTCTTACTGACTTTCCTGCCCATGCTGGCTTTGAACCTCAATCCTCAGATCTCAGCCTCTTAAGTAACTAGGATTATAGCCATGAGCCACTGGTGCCCAGCTTCGTTTTCAATTTTTGTTGTAAAAAGCAATATAACATAAGCTCTGTAATACAATATAAATATAAATGACTTGACTTGGTCTTTTGTGGCAGTCAGAGGATTGAACTTAGGCCCTCAAGCTTGCTAGGCAAGCTCTCTATCATATGGGCCACATTCACCATACTCCTGTCTTTCATTTTTATGTTTTATTTCTATGATAGGTGGGGTCTTGATAATTGTGCCTGCCTGGTCTCAAACTCCAGATCCTCCTGCCTCTACCTCCCCACCAGCTAGGATTATAGACATGTACCATCATACCTAATATAAATGACTTTCTCAGGGAAGAAAAAAAAAAGGCATGCTTATCAGTGGGGCTCAATGGAAGAAAAGAATTACTCTTCTAAATATTTTTGGCTTATGAAAATATGAGTATAACTTCATCAAGCATCTATAATGTACTGCTACTGTACTGGTCACTTAGTATGCTACTCCTAATCTTCACAAATAATCCTAGATAGAATTATCCCTGTTTTACAGAAGAGAAACTGAGGCTCAGAGAGCCTGAGTAACCTACTGGACAAGTCACTCATTAAGCAAAGTCATTCTCAGGCCTTTCTGACTCCTAAATCTGAGTTCAACACTACTATATGGAGACACCTTCTTGCTAACAAAAGGTTCACCTCTAGCAATGTGATGTGAAAATGACATGAAATGGCATATTTTGAGGAAGCAGAAGAACCCAAAGGAATATGTGACTCACAGAGTAGATTCCTATCCTGAGGCAAGGGTTGATAGAGGTTATGCAATACCATTTTACAAACCTTGAAAAGTTCAAACACCATGTGATAGAGGTGGGATGGTACATAAACCACTTGTATTGGCTGTCCTGGTGATTTTGCTACAGAGCAGAAGAGAAAAATATGAAAGTACAGAGAGATGTGCTTACAGCATTTTTAAGAATAAATTGTGTAGTGATGAAAAGAAAATGTTCATTATGGAGGACAGTATTATTGGGCTAGAACTGTCACACCATTTCTTCACACTATTAGTGTTTATATCCCACCCTCATAAACATTTTGCAGCTGACAATGACAAGGGCCCTATGGCCATCCCTTACAATTCAGTCTAATAAGTTAACCAACCCATCCTCCCTTACTTCTCTTTCTTGGCAAGTCTCTGAAAGGACACTCAATCTTTATATAGAGATTATACTTTCCAAAGAGAGGCTTTAAAAATAAAAAGCTATTTTCTAGTTTTCTGAATGTGTCACCTGGATGAAACACTGTCTCCCTTGTTTCAGACATTTCTACGTATAAAAAAGTCTTAAACTAGCATCAATTTCTCAAGAAGCACACACACACACACAAAAAAACCAGTTAGTGGCAAATGGAGGAGGGAGGCTATGTGTACGTAAAACAGACCTTTAGAAAAGCAAAGGAATAATTCATCATACCTCAGAATAATTGAACCAATAAATCAACTCTAATTCAACTAATAATCAGACTGTACTCTGAGTAAATTAGCTCTTGGGAACAAGAATGGGACATCCAAACACTGCCCACAGCAGCTGAGGCTCCCCCGCTATCATGTGTACACTGTATATTTACTAAATGGTGCCACTGTGAATCAAAGATCAATACAGCTTTAGAAAACCACCAAGAAATTCTATTTTCAACTGGTAAATTCCTCCACTACTCTCCTATTCTGAGAATAAGAATATGCTTTTAAAAAGCCTACTTAATTTTTTTCTTCCCACTACCTTCTTAAAAGTATCATCTGAACCTAGGAAATGTTTTCCCCCTTTGTCAAACTACCATACCTCCAGGAAAACATTGAGCCTCAATCTCCTTCCAAGAGAACAAAACCATTTTTGTCTAAAAGGCACTAGTCCAGGTAAAGGAAAGACCACCAGAAAGAAACGGATTCAAGTAAATGAGCAGCTTTCTTTCTGCTCTTACACACCTAGTCGTCTGACTTCTTCAACAATAAAAATGGTTTACAACTTAAGTAGAAAAAAAGGATAATATATGTGTTACTGAGGTGTATACAAAAATCAGATGTAATTTTCTTGGCACCATTTTTCTTATGACTATCAAGAAAATTAAAAATAAGCAAAGAATCAAAGTTATCAATTTAAGGAACATAAGCTAAAAAAGTTAAAATGCTTTTCATAAGAATCTAACTATACATATACATATATATATGGGCTTGTGTGTACATACACATATTTTATATAATTGCTCTTTAGCCTTTGTAATCAGTGAAGAGTTGATGAAAATGTCCTTCTCTAGCAAAACAAATTTAATTCTACTATGATTTCTTGTCAGGTGGGCATAATAATCACTGAGGAAAGGACAACACCAGGCAGACTTACCATTTAGTTCTTCAAGTTCTAGTTCAGGAGAGTTTATATAATATAAATCACAAAGACGCCTAGCATTTTCATAGCCATCTAGTATGAATCAAAACAAGACAAAAAAAGCATTAAATAAATTTACTTCTGTTTCATGCAGTAAGATAGCAACAGCACTGACAAATGAAAACTTAAAATTCTTTTTTTTTTGGTCGGTCATGGGGCTTGAACTCTGGGCTTGCGCGCTGTCCTTGTGCTCTTCAGCTCTCCACTTGAGCCACAGCACCACTTCCAAAAAACTTAAAATTCTTTTTTTTTTTTTTGGTCGGTCGTGGGGCTTGAACTCTGGGCCTGGGCGCTGTCCTCAGCTCTTCAGCTCAAGGCAAGCGCTCTACCACTTGAGCTACAGCGCCACTTCCGGCTTTCTGGTGGTTTATTGGAGATAGGAGTCTCACAGTCTCTCCTGCCCGGGCTGGCTTTGAACCGCGATCCTCAGATCTCAGCCTCCTGAGTAGCTAGGATTACAGGCGTGAGCCACCAGCTCCCGGCAAAAAACTTAAAATTCTTTACAGGAAAACATACACTTTACAACCTTAGGATGGTAAATGTCTTTCATATGGCAAAACCTAACAATTACAATAGAAAAATGACAAAAATTAATAACATCTGCACAGAATATACCATAAAAGCAGCAAAAGAAAAAGAGCAGGCAAAAAAATATTTATAATATACTTATCAAAAACAGCTGGAGAAGCCAGGCGCCGGTGGCTCATGTCTGTAATCCTAGCTACTCAGGAGGCTGAGATC